TACTTCATGAAAATCTCAGTATACTTTAAAGGTTGGGGTAAGTTTTTCAGCTTGGCTTTCTGTTGAATCACTTATGATGGATTTCATTGAGGCAAACAATGGTTCATAAGATGTTTTCAATGCTGTTATGTGGGTTTAGGCTACATATTACCCATCATTTTAATTTACATATTGATGTGGTTGGTGATACATCTGTTCCACAGATCTTGGGGTAGGTTATTTCAGTCTCTGGGTGAGATCTAGGGTAGCTCCAGATGAGATTGTATGATTCAGTTCAGGGGACTCCCACAAGGTCCAGATCTATAGCAGAGAAGAGCATTATATTTTCACTGCATCTACATGCCATTGATTATAAGATGCATCCTAGTTTCAGACATGTTAAACTATGAAAAAAAATGTTATAGAACTCATGAAATACTGGCAAGTTCTTCTGTTATATCTTTGTCATGTTTATACACCCAGGTTTTTCCAAATGAATTTGATACTCTGTCACTTCTTGCCCAAAATGAGTTTTATAATGTGGCTTGGACTATTTCCTGAATTTTCTCATTGTGTCACTTACTCTAAGTACATGAAATTTAACGTTTATTAGAGCAGCTTACCTTGTGAAGTAATGCTGGTATATTTTTCTTTTTTCCAGGCTGACACCAACAAAGATCGTATTGACAATGCCAACGCCAGAGCAAAGAAACTCATTGACAGCTAAAGCTACTGCTCTACTTCTTTATCATTTATTCACTTCCCTAGCTCCTCCTTCAAAGTCATTACCTTTCCAGAGTTTGAAATTTTGGTTCCACACGCTTCAATCGGGAGATGATGTGGAAGAAGATCTAGGAGTAACAGCCCCCCTATTCTTTTATTTTCTCTTTTTCCCTTGAGGGTAGACTGCGGCTTAGTTTTCCTTCTAGTACTTTCTTTCTCAGTCCATACTCTTAGGTTGGTTTTCATACATCATATATAATGCTATTTTTCATTCTCTCCATTTACTTAGCAAGTTCTTCTGCTTTGAAACTTTGGAAGCATTGCCAAAGACAGCCATGTAAAAGGCTGGGGGCAGTAGGGGCAGGCACAAGGAGAGGCAAGAGATAAGAGGTTGTTACATCAGTAAAACCTGCAGACCCTAAAGCCAGAAGTTGCATAACCACAGTGAAGATCTAGTTGGGTTTAATTTCTGTTTAAGTTGCAGTTTTTGCCAGTTTAGGCCAATGCTTGGTTTTGGAGCCTGTATACACAATATTTTTGTTATACATCACAACTTTGCAACCTCTGCTTCAAAAAACAGAATGAGTTTTCTTAAAGTGAGCTTAATTTCTGAACTCTTGGTGGTTCACCTATGTACATAGATTCTATGATCCCATTTCATATTGCACCATATAGGAACACATGGTATAAATGAATGGCTTTTTATTTTCATATTATTAATAGTATCATGGTCCCATTATAGGCCTATTAACCTCATAAATTTGTCATTAGTCTTTGAAGAAAAAATATGTAAATATGTATATATAATATGAGAATTTCTCTCTACAGCAGGGCTTAAAATTTTTTGGAAAAGTTTGACAAAGTATATCACGTGAATTCAGATTTACCTCAATGCCAAGAATTGTTTAGATAGGAAAAAAGAAACTTGTTTTGATCTCAGGTAGAAAATAGTTAGATTGCTTTGAGTTTTATGTAGCTTTAAACTTTTTTAAAAACTAGAATTTATTCTGTTTAAAAATGATTTAGAAAATTATGTCTTTGGTTTACTTATTGATGATTGCACTATGATTCTATTAGCTTTTTGGATTCAACTTCCAGAATCACATTTGCTTAGATCCTGAACAGTGTTATAAGAATCTAATTGGTATTTGTCACCTTTATTTAAAAACTAGCTTCTGCACACTTCAAAGCTATTAATGTCGATTGGTTTGACCAATAACCACTGTTTGATCCTTAAAATTAAATTTTGTAACTAACTAATGGAACTTTTTTCAAATAAGTGATGTGCTTCTGTGAGTACTTTTTGTGGGGTGGAAAGCAATAATTTTGTCAGCTCTTATGTGACAAACTGAATAGAGCAAAGATCCATAAATCAAAAGGCACTCCAACAAACAGCTGACTTTATTAGCACCTTTCCCATTTTTATTGGAAATATAGGACTTTTCCCTACTATGATTTGTCATGAGGTTCATTTTAATCATTACTAGTCTTTTATTCATTTGAGCTTAAATACACTAGCGACTGAAAGTGTTTATGAGTGAAAACTGCAATGCATTTAACTGGAGGAGATAGAGTTAACATGGGAACTTTCAAAAGCTGAAAAGGAAAATATTTATAGTGAGATTTAATTAGGCCCTCAGTAATAGAAATGCCACATGCCAAAAAGGAGTAGTTTGGTAGGTGGTAGTAAATGTGTGTGTACAATAAGAAGGTATAAAACACTGGGGGCTGTTCTATACTTAAATATCCTTCCTAAAAGCGTTAAAAAAATTTTTTTAACACTATTATGGCTAAAGGAAATAGTTCTGAAGATACCAGTATGCTGTTCCAACAGTATAATTGGTTAGAAGTGTGAGCTAAGGCACCATATTGTCTGGATTTACACTCTAGCTCTGCCACTTGCTGGCTGAGTGACTATAAAACCATTTCTGTGCCTTAGTTTCCTTGTGCGTAAAGTGGGATTAATGATTCCTACCTCATAGAGTTGCTGCGAAGACTTAATGTGGTAATGCATGTAAAGCACTTAGAGCAGTGCCCAGCAAACGTAAGAGCTTATTAAATGATAGCTGCTATTCTCTCTAGAGTGGAGCTCTTTTTGGGTCAAGGATCTCTTTGTGAATTTGATGAAAGACAACACAGCCTATCTCTCCAGAGAAATAGACACACAAACACACACACGTGAATCATGCATAAATGGGTCTTGAAAGCCCATCCATGGATCCCACATTACATACTTTTTCAAAGCTTCTGCTACTGAGAAAAGAGGAATGAGGACCTATAACTTAGGCTCATAATACACTAGAAATAGAAGCTGTTGACTTAAAAGTCTTCTCCTGTGACACTGTCTGGAAACTTGTTTCTATTACTTTTGAAAGGTAGTAACTGAGGTGGTTAGCACAAGCCCTGGAGTCTGACCAACTGTGTTCAAGTTTTGGTTCAATCATTTACTAGTTTTGTGACCTTGAGCATAAAACTGACCTACAATTAAGGAGTTAAACATTATTCTCCACCGAACTTAATTTTTTTTTTTAACGATAAGCTCCCTCTTCAGGTTTCTGGTCTTATAATGACAGTGATCTTTATCCCCTATAGTTGTGCCTGTTTTTTTCTTCTTTCACAGTTCTAATTCATCCTTTGTTTACCACATTTCAACTCTAGATCTTTTCATGTCATGTATGGATTAGGAATCTCCCCTTAACTTAACCTTTTACTTCCCAGACATCCTATACTCAATTGCTCTTAGAATTAGTTTCTTTAAACGCTATTCTTTAGGTTACTCTCTTACTAAAATCCTAAGTTATCCCAGTTACATTCCTAAGCATACTTATAGTTCTCAGATTGATAGTCAGGTTCCTTATTCTCTACTCACTTGTTTTTCATCCTAATGTAGTGTTTGCTCCAAGCCTTCCATTTCTGTACAACTTGGCTAAATTCTATTTTAATGTTTTACAGGTGAAATAAATAGCACCATTTATTGAGTGCTTACTCTGTCATAGGCACTATTCTAAATGCTTTTATGTATCTTCATAACATACATGAGAGGTAGGAGGTGTTTCCCCATATTATGGATGAGAGTAAGTTGCTTAAATTCATAAATCTAGTAAATGATAGACTTTGGATTCAAATCAGGATCTTTCTGACTCCAAGGCCCATGTTCTTACTCAGTATACTACACTGACTTCTAACCAAGCTCTAAAAGAAGGTAGGTGATTTAGAATCTCAGTCTCCAGACCTCAAGTCAACCCACTTTATTAGCTCATATTTAAGTCTAAATACTTGTGTACTATATCTTTGGGCATATTACTTTACTTAATCCCTGCCCTCAAGTAGCTCAGTCTAGCAAGAGGCAGATGAATACAGAATGTGAGAAATGCTACTGTAACAGATGGAGCAGTTAATTCGGCTTGGACTTCTCAGGAAGGGGCTTAGACATAGAAAAGGAGTGTGTTAGTAAGAGAGGGCATTCTGACTGAGCAAACAATGTAAAGACAGTTAAAGGAGAGAGACGTTGCACTGTGGGTTTAAGGAGCAGAATAACCTGGTTAAGACTGGGCAAGTGAATGAGAGTGAAGAGAGGGTATCTGGAAACAAGGCTGGGTCCAAGTTGTGAAAGTTAGCGATCATAACGGGATTCTCATAAGGGTAGGGATTTTTTAAACTCCCATTAATAAATGTCTTGGGACATTTAAGTTATTTAATTTATAAGTTCTGATTTATTAGATAAGTACTGATAAAATAGAGAAATGTTCAGCAGATCCATAAGATTAAGCATTAAACAAAGTTTATAAAAAACAAAACTCAGTTGGTAATGTAAACTAGCACCCCCATCCCTCCCCAGTTGAGAAACAGAGAATAACATGGGAAAAAGAGAACCCCTAGACCAGATTTAAGGTCAGAGAGACTTTCCTCATATTAAACACTAGGCTCTTGTGATCTCTTGACGTAATGGTTAAACTAGGTTTGTAAAATGAGAACTAACAATACATGGTAAATGACAGCCCCTTGGCTAAGACAAAACATCAGAAAACAGCAGAGTTGTAGCTTTCTAAATGTTCATGCCAGTAACAGTCTGAAAAAATCTACTTTTATAGCTTCACTTTCTCTTAATAAGCATGGTTTCCAGTACCACAAAATGTTTATCAGTCACATGAAGGCATTTCAGTACTCTTGCAACCTGAACAAGAACATAAAACATTTCTTCCTTATCAGTTTACTTTCAAACAAAGGGCCATTTACAGGTTAAAGTTCCCCTGTCGTCTTACTTTAAAGGATTAACCTTTCTTCCAGCCATAGTTATTAAAAAATCTTTATTTAGTATATTCTCTCATTCAGAGAATAAATTTGATAAACATAAGTTGTTATAAAATACTGTAGCAGTAGCTTTTTTATAGCTAATTTGATTATTAGAGTTGTAAATACAAAAAGATGACCAGAAATAAGAGACTGTTTCTGACAAAGCTTCAGGAAAATCTTGATTATTAAAACCCTTGTATCTTACAAGTTTTGCATACAGTTTTAGCTCTTCAGAGCCCTCTATCAATAAGGCACCTGCAATAGTAAAAAAAAAAAAAATTGCTACTGCAGCCTTGGGAACACCTTTTAGTGTTGTGTTGTTGCTTCTCTGACAAAGCACACTTTTAATCACGAGTTATACATTTATGTACATCCTAAATTCCAAGTATAAACATTGCAATTGAACTAATGGACTGGAGTAAAATCATAAATCCTAGCAGCCTCTCATAGCAGCCTCTCATGAATTATTTGAATTTCATAAAAATATGAAGTGTCAACACAGGGTGGAATGGCAACTGATTTTCTGAAAGCTCGCACATTGAGACACGTGAAATTTCAAGCTGTTGTGTGGAGCTATTCTGGTACCAGGCAGCATCCCCTCACTGTATACATAGCAACTAGCTACTGGGTTTCTCAAAGCCAAACAAATGATGGTTTTGAAGATCAACATTGTCCTTTGCCCTATCCATGACTCAAAATGGAAGAGTTCCTGTGTTTGATTCCCTTTAGCTTATTTGAGATGAGCCCTGGAAAGGAAAAAGATCATTGAGTGAAATATAACCTCCTGGAATATCATCTCCTCACTGCAGATATCCTTGACAACAACAGGAGCCTTTCATTCAGCCAGATTGCAACAGGTTCCAAGTCAGTGTCCTGTATGGTTCACATGCTCCTGGAGAACATCATGCAAACTTCTTCTTGGTGGCTGTGAACCTCTCCATGTACTGAAAATCATGAAAGAATACATGTGTTATTTTGCCCTGAGCAAATAACTAACTTATTGGTTATTTGGTATTTTATGATTTTTTTTTCCTTTAGTCTTCCCCCCGCCGGTACGTGGGCCTCTCACTGTTGTGGCCTCTCCCGTTGCGGAGCACAGGCTCCGGACACGCAGGCCCAGCAGCCATGGCTCAAGGGCCCAGCCGCTCCGCGGCATGTGGGATCTTCCTGGACCAGGGCACAAAGCCATGTCCCCTGCATCAGCAGGTGGACTCTCAACCACTGCGCCACCAGGGAAGCCCATCCTTTAGGTTTTTATGGTCCTTCATTTCCTACAAAATCTACCTATTCTAGATGAAAATTTAAAGCACATGGTTTTGTGGGGTGTTTTTTTTTTCTTTCCTTTATATCTTAATAGGACACCTATCAAAAAGATGCTTTACAATAAGCTGTCTAGAGAAAAATATCATCTTGGCACAATACCATTTGGCTGATTCTCAGAACCCACCTCCAAAATGGAGAACAAATCCTTATTCACATAAACGGATTATACATACGTCCTGTACCTAGAAACACTCATGTGAGTTACTTCACCTTTCTCTTCTCTGGAGCAGTGACTAGAAATTCAGAAGTACACTAATACATACCTTATCATAGCCTTCCAGTTCTCGAAGTTTCTTTATTTCAAAAAGGTTGCCTTCTACAGCAAGCAGACAGATCTGGGAATCACTGAGGATGCTCTGTGGAAGCATACTGAGCTCAAGACAATTCTCCTCCAAACGAAGAACTTTAAGGCGAGGACAGCAAGATATCTTCACTGAGATCTGAGCTATCTATTGAACAATTTATAAAAGGGATAATAGGAAAAAGTATAAGCACTGTAATGATTATTTTTTACTAGATTAAAAAATCTTTACTTGACTATTTGTCCTACTTCTTTCTTCTACCACCTCCATTTTCTCACTACCCACTCACTCCAGAAGCCTCTTGTGTTATCCAGCTTCTGTTACTACTACACTTTTGAGGGGGAAGAAAACAAATCTTTTTTGAAGGTCACCAGTGACTTTTTGGAAACAAATTTTTCTGATAATAAAAGCACTGTTCATTATAGAAAATTTGAGAATCATACGAGGTTAGAGAAAAAAGTTACCTGTAATCCACCACTGTAAACATTTTGGTACAATTACTGCCAATCTTTTATGTGTACATAGATGCCAACCACTTTACTGCCAAAGTCAAGGATTCGTTGCCCTCATTCCCTGTTGCATTTGACTGTGCTATCCCTTTCTTGAAACTCCCACTTCTTGTACCTAAGTGCTGTGTTTTTCTTCCTATCTTTTGAATTATTCCTGATTTTTGGCTTCCCTTCTTGTTTGTATGGACATTTTTCAAGCAGCAGTCCCTAATACTTAATATTCAATCTTTCTAAACTTTCTCCTAGAAAGCTCATTCATTCTTTTTTTTTTCTTTTTTTTTTTTGCGGTACGCGGGCCTCTCACTGTTGTGGCCTCTCCCGTTGCGGAGAACAGGCTCCGGACACGCAGGCTCAGCGGCCATGGCTCACATAATATTCAATCTTTCTAAACTTTCTCCTAGAAAGCTCATTCATTCTTTTTTTTTTTTTCTTTTTTTTTGCGGTACGCGGGCCTCTCACTGTTGTGGCCTCTCCCGTTGCGGAGAACAGGCTCCGGACACGCAGGCTCAGCGGCCATGGCTCACAGGCCCAGCCACTCCGCGGCATGTGGGATCTTCCCGGACTGGGGCACGAACCCGTGTCCCCTGCATCGGCAGGCGGACTCTCAACCACTGCGCCACCAGGGAAGCCCTCATTCATTCTTAAAGCTATCACTTCTTTTAAGCTATCTATCTACATTCATTTCTGCCCACCTTTATTCCACTCCTATGTCTCTGATTTTTAGTAAAACACATTGGATGTTTCACCATCATAACCCACTCAGCATGCCCATTCCCAATAGCACCACTCTTGTTTTAGGCTCTTGAGCTCAATACCAAGCAGTTATCTTTGATTCATTCAGCTCTTCTGCCCTTTAAATGCTCCAAGCCACCTAGTTATATTTACTATGCCTGGTATCATCTCAGACCATCACCTGGGACCTTGTTAAAACTGCAAATTCTCAGACCCTACCCCAGACCTACAAAATCAGAAACAATGAGTGTGGAGCCCAGTGATCTCTTAACCAGCTCTCTGGGTTATTCTGATGCACACTAAAACCTGAGAACCATTGATTTAAGGCAGCATAGGTGAATGTGGAGCAAGCACTCAATTTGCTTAACAAGTTTTTTCCAATATTTTTCCCCAAATATTCAGAGTTTTTTTCCAAAAAGCTCAAGAACATACAAGAATATCCACTTTAAGGAAAAGATAAAGCCAATCTCGTCCAAGACTGACTGAATTTCATCATAATGTAAGGTCAGGACATTCTAGAATAGTTTTGTCCAATAAAACTTATTGCAACTAGTGGAATGTTCTGTATCTGTGCTGTCCAATATGGTAGCCACTAGCCACATAAGGCTGTATTGAGCCATACTTGAAATATGGCTAGTGCAACCGAGGAACTGAATTTTTAAGTCTAATTTAAATGAATTTTAATGGCCATGTGGCTAGTGGCTACTGTAATGGACTCTGCAGATATAGAAACATAGACACTAGAAAAACTAAAGACTACCCAGTCTCACTATGATCAGTGTTTCATCATTTGTGCCTTATGTCTAGACCAAAGATTGTTTCTCCAGTCAGATATGTGTTAACCAAAGAGTTTCCGAACTTATGGAAATAAATTTCAAATACTGCAATTAAAGCTGTACAACAATCCCCCAAAATCCTATCACTGACAGTTTTTCCGCAAAAGCAGGACACACACTTGACAAAGATGTCAGCAAAAGGACAACTGAATGAACTCTGATGTCCAACTCTGAGAACATATGAGTTTAAGCCTCTTTTCCACTCTATCTTCCTGACATAGCTCCTTGCTAGATGATTAGAGGTATATTTGAGGATGATCTGAAGAACTCAAGGTTTGTGAGACAGAGGTTTAACTTTTGAAATTGCCTCACCATGCTACCCATCCTACCCTCCAAAAAACACCTACACAACAAACACACTCAGTGTCTCAACTAACTTCACGGCACTTTGGGCTTTGAAATTAGTCCAGCCCATAGAATATACCTCTCTTCTAGCCTCTGATACCCCTCTCCATGATTACAGTTTAGAGAACAATTGTTTATTCAGGAGACTGTAAACCCACATACATGCTGTACAAAAAAACCCTTAAGCTCTAGACCTGGTTCTGGTTGAGGTTGAGTTCGATGACCTGCAGCTCCTGCACTGTGTCAGGTATGCTCCGAATTTGGTTCTTGGAGAGATCCACTACATCCAGGTGCCGTAGGTTACAAAGTTGGGATGGTAGTGCTCTCAGCTGGTTCCCAGAGAGGCTCAGGGTCTTAAGGGCAGATAGTTGCCCAAAAGTAGATGGCAGCTCTCTCAAGTGATTGTTGTTTAGGCTTAGTGTCTCTAGTTTTTTCAGATTGCATAACTCATCAGGAAGGACAGCTGGCAAAGAAAAATTTAAAAACCTGAATCCAATACAGCTGAAAAACACCTTTGATGAAGTTTATAAAAACTATATGGCAGTCTGTTATGCCTCTTGTTAATATACATAGGCATTTCACATGTTGTGCCATTTTTAAGTATTGCATTTTTACCAACGTAGTCTTCAGAAGGTGAGGGTGCCATCAAAATTCAGGAAAGCATTATGTGTATAGTAGGCTCCTTTTGTGAAGGGGCCACTGCACAATCCCACAGCAATTTTGTGGGATTTGGAAGGCCTTCTCCTTCCCATCCCATCCGCCCTTCCAAATTAGCAGCAAAGTTAGCTCTGCTTACATTACACCCCAAAGATGGTCCCTTTCAAGTCCAAATTAACCTCCTACCAATCATTACACCAGGAGAGGAGGCTTATAGATGTAATTACAAGATAGAAAGCTTCAAGGACTCTGACATTCTTCTGCATCTTGAGCTCCTGAACAGTTTCATAACAACAAAAATCAGCTTGTAAGAAAAAAAAAAAACACCCTTCTTTTTTTTTAAGATTCTGATACATTTATTTGAAAACCAGTTTAATAACATTATAATCGTACTCCACACTCTATTCCAAGAGAAAAACCACCCTTTAACAGCTGATAACTAGCAAAATTCCCAGGCGCAAAAGCCATACTCAGTTTGTTGTTGTTCAAGGACAGGCTCCTCAGCAGAGTGAACTTCCCTATAATCATAGGCGGTAGACTCTCGATCTTGTTGTTGGACAAGTCGATGGTCCTGAGATTGCTTGTCAGCTTCTGCAACTCTGAGGGGAACTGAAGAAAGGGGCTCTCAGCGCGGAGAATCCCTTACCTATAAACTTCACCGCCCGCCGTCCCTCTCCCTTTAAATTCCCTTGGTCGGATCCCTCCCAGTCTCACCTCGGTCAGCCCACGGTCCTTAAGCTGAAAGACACCAGTTTTCTGCGCGGTTTCCACATGAGCGCGGAGGGCACTGTTTCCCATCCTAGCGCCAAGGCTCAGGTCTCTGCGGGAAGGAAGAGCAGCTGTCACCACTCGGCCCGGCACCCAGCCACCCCGTCGGCCTCCCGGCTAGGTCTCAAGCTCCAGCTGTCACCTCCTGCCGATCCCTGGATCTTGAGGGCCAGCTCAAGAGTGGCAAGGAAGAAAGGGAAGAACACCAGGCCCCGCCGCTTTTGCAGCTGTTCCAAGGCTAGACGCCGCTAGGAGCCTACAGAGGATCAGTGATCCCCGAACTCGCCTCCTACCCCTCAGCTCACAGCCGGCTCCGCAGGGGAGGACCCGGGACCAGCACTCCCCTGGGATGCGCTCCGCAGGCTTCCGCCAGGGCGGAAACGCCCTGTGACGTCATCGAGCCGCGCGGTGCGTTCCGCTCACTCTCCGCGCCACCCGGAAAGGCGGCTGCCAGCCATGGCTGAGGCGAAAACCTCGGACCAGGCGTCCGAGCCAAACGCTGCGGGGCTACTGCTGGGACATTTCGTAGCTAAGGGGTTGGTTACTCAGGTGCGTGGGGGGCGATGGCGTCATTAAGGGGGTGCCCACAGTGGCGACAGAAGAAAGCTGTGAGGTGGTGGTGCTGGCTGCGGGAGTGGGTGGGAGGATGCTGGCTGGGGGCTGTTCTAGAGTCGGGGTCGATGGAGCTCCTTGTAGGCAGCAGAAGTGACTGGTCCGCGGTGGGTTCTGCAAAAGCGGGGCTCTAAGGAGATGGTGTTTCAACTGTCTGGCAGGCGAGTTATCCCAGGTCAGTTCTTGGGCGGTAATAAAGACTAATGTTACCCGCCTTTTTTCATCCAGTGATACCGCCTCTAGATTGTAATCGGTGGCGGGGTTGGGAAATAACGGGTAGGTGGGAACATACGTTCCCAAAGAACGCTCGTTTGTGTGAAATATTGAAGCATTACGGGAGGCGCCGGGTACAGGAGAGCGCCAAGGGAAGCACGCATCTTTAAAGGCCGGAGGGGGACAAAAAAAAATTGGTGAAAAAGACCCGAGAGACCTTGGAACATGATTGGAGGAAGGAATTAATTTTGAGAAGGAGAGAAGAGGGAGATTAGCCAAGGGGTGGTAGTTTTAGGTTCGGCGGGAAGAGCATGTTCATAGGCCAAAGGGAACAAGCCAACAGAGGGAGAAATTGAAGATGTGAGGGAATAATGGAATAGAAATGGCAGATGTGACAAGGGAATGGAAAAAGGTTGAGAGAAGGGAAAGAAATTTTGAGACAATGAGAAAGTTGAGGAATTTCACTAAAAAGGCAACTGAGAAAAATAGAAAAGGTAAAGCCATCTACACGTGCACTATGCACATGATGAAAGATTTATGAAAAATAGACAACTTTTTATACCTAGAAGAGTCATTAGAGAATTCTGCTATCTACTTACAGTAATTTTAAAATGCAGAAACTAAGACCTGAGGAGACCAAGAAATGTGTCGAGGGCCACTCAACTAGTGAAGCAGAGTTAGATCCCAGAGCTCTCCCTTTTCTGACATATTATATCATTTCTCAAATGAACTGTAATAGATGATAGATACTGTAACACTATCTTGAAAGAGTTTAAACGTCTGTTGAAGGACTTTTCTAGATTACGTGAAGACCTAGTAGCCAGACCTTATGGATTTGGGGGGAAACGAGGGGTAGGAATGAATGCGTTGGAAAATAGGCAAAACATAGCCACAGCACTCCCCAGTTCTCACCTTCCTCACTTCTCTCCTGTGTTTTCTTGCTACCAGGTTGCCTAGTGCTCTCACCTGTATTGTCCAGTTCTGTAACAAAGTAATTTGGTAAATTCATACTATAAGACATTTGGGACTGAGAATTGGGCTGGGGGTTGTCTTTGGGACGATCTTCGTAGTGTCCTTCAAGTAACACTAATTAGACAGATACCTGTTTTGCCAAGCCATAGCTCCATAAGACCTTGTTATAGGGACTTCCTTGGTGGTGCAGTGGTTAAGAATCTGCCTGCCAATGCAGGGGACACGGGTTCGACCCCTGGTCTGGGAAGATCCCACATGCCATGGAGCAACTAAGCCCGTGAGCCACAACTGCTGAGCCCAGGTGCCACAACTACTGAAGCCCGTGCGCCTAGAGCCCGTGTTCCACAACAAGAGAAGCCAGAGCAATGAGAAGCCTGCACACCCCATCGAAGAGTAGCCCCTGCTCGCCGCAACTAGAGAAAGCCCACACACAGCAACAAAGACCCAATGCAGCCATAAATAAATAAATAAGTAAATAAATGTTTTTTAAAAAGACCTTCTTATGATCTTACTGCACAGCTAGGCCCAGTGAGGAAACTTTGAAGATTTGTAGCATGATTTTACTTTAAGCAAACTTTACATGTAAAAAACCTATTTTTATTACAAGGATTTATCATTTATTCTTTCAAAATGATGTATTATATGATCCCTTTAAGCAGTCCATCCCTTAAGTGCACATCCTCCCATGTGAATTAAAAATTGACTGATGCTTAAAATTGTGATGTGATATGATACAACTCTTATAGAAAATGTTGTTTGTTTCAGCTTTGTTCATTTTTTTTTTAATATTTATTTATTTAGGCTCCCCTGGGTCTTAGTTGTAGTGCACAGGATCTTTAGTTGAGGCATGCAAACTCTTAGTTGTGGCATGCATGCGGGATCTAGTTCCCTGACCAGGGATCAAACCCAGGCCCCCTGCATTGGGAGCACGAAGTCTTACCCACTGGACCACCAGGGAAGTCCCAGTTACTGGGCATTTATAATGGAATACCTTTTCCTTCCCATCCATCATGAGCTTGTTAAGGGCAGAGAGCTTGTTTCATTCATCCTTGAATCTTCTATTGCCTAAACTCAATAAATGTTATAAAATTGATTATCATCAGTCAGCAAACGTTTGCCATGAAGGGCCAGAGAATAAGTATTTGAGGCTTTTAGGTCCATAGGGTCGCAACTAGGCTGTTGTAGTATGAAAACAACATGAGATAATAAGTAAATGAATGAGTGAAGTTGAGTTTCAATAAAACTTTATTTCTGGACCCTGAAATTTGAATTTCATATAATTTTCATGTGTCACAGAATGTTTTTCTTTTGATTTTTTTTCTTCAACAATTAAGAAATATAAAAACCATTTTTAGCCCTTAAGCTATACAAAAACAGGCAATGGGTGCATTTAGTTCATAGGCTGTAGCTTCCCAATCCCTGGCCTGTATGATATCTGAAGTTCTTTCCTGTGCTAACATTCTAGAGAAGAAAAAGAGCATAGAAAAAATTATGGATGAAGCCAAGGGATGAACAAGATAATATTCTTATTCTGAGATAACCTGCAATTTAAGAAAGCAGTATAATATAGAATGAAAGAATAAAAAGGAGGTGGGGGGGTAGGCTTTTTCAAGGAATAATTATTCCTGGACAAAACATTCCTTTAAGAGAGGGACGGGCTTCCCTGGTGGCACAGTGGTTGAGAGTCCGCCTGCCGATGCAGGGGACGCGAGTTCGTGCCCCAGTCCTGGAAGATCCCACATGCCGCGAAACGGCTGGGACCGTGAGCCATGGCCGTTGAGCCTGCGCGTCCGGAGCCTGTGCTCCGCAATGGGACAGGCCACAGCAGTGAGATGCCCGCGTACCAAAAATTTAAAAAAAAAATTTTTTAATTTAAAAAATTAAAATAAAAAAGAGGGAGAATGCGGAAAGAGACAGTATGAATGACTTGTAACCAATAGAGGTCATTTAATGAATCAGGTGAATGATTCCATAGCCCAGGAAGTGTTTAATTTTAGCCCCAGGAAGGTCTGAGAGACTAAGTCATTTGTGTAGAAGTGATTCTCTAACAATTTCAACTTTAGAATTTTTTGGTAGGCTATCAGCAATGCCAGTCTATTGTGCATGATGCCTTAAGAAATAGTACAAAGTGATTTTCTTCTTTTTCTTCTTTTTTAATTTTAATTTTTTTTTTGCGGTACGCGGGCCTCTCACCGTTGTGGCCTCTCCCGTTGTGGAGCACAGGCTCCGGACGCGCAGGCTCAGCGGCCATGGCTCACAGGCCCAGCCGCTGCACGGCATGTGGGATCTTCCCGGACCGGGGCACGAACCCGTGTCCCCTGCATTGGCAGGCGGACTCTCAACCACTGCGCCACCAGGGAAGCCTGTTTTTCTTATTTTTTAAATATTAATATTTGGGCAAAAGATTTGTGATGGTGGAGGTTTTAAAAAACAGGAAATATACATTGCACTGTCCTACTCTATTTCATTTTTCAGGGGCAGCGTTGGACATAATATATCCTCATATTTTAGACACGTGGGCATGCTATTCCAACACACAAACTCTGACATATTGCTGCTTTCTCTGTTCACTTACCAATAGGAGATGTTAAATATATCTAAGAAATCAACTTCTTGCTTTGTGAACTTCTCCAGACTACAGCAGATCACAGATATTCAAGCTGAAATCTACCAGGTAAATTATGTTGGAGTTTTTACTTTTTACCTGTAGTATGGAAAAAAATCTTAACTGGCTCCAACAGTAATCCTCTTGCACGCAGAACAGTGTCTAGCACATAGTTGTATAGGCTTTTCTTTGCAGTAGTTAATAATAGTAGTAATGGTCATAGTAGTAGTTAGGAGTAGTAGCAGTAGCAGCAACAGGGCTTGAACACCAAAATGAAAAGATTCAGTAAATCCCTGGGCTCTCGTAACAAATCATCCTCCTGGTCCCCTTAAATATTCCTGAGTTAAAGACTGTCCATTTTTATCAAAACCTTTACTTCAGGTTACTTTCTGCATGAGCTAAGTGTTTTTTTGTTTCTAATGTAGAAAAACCTGGAAATTGAACTCCTAAGACTAGAAAAAGATGCAGCAGATGTTGTCCATCCTTCTTTTTTGGGTAAGTGGTTTAGTTAAATGAGTAATCATTGAAATTTCAACTTTTACTTGGATTACTTAAAGCACTAGGCTATAAAATTATGATAATTTTTCCAGGTATTGCCCCAAAGCTAACAAAGTCAGTAGAGCTTAAAAGACAAAGGCTGAGGAACTTGCCAGATGAAAGGATCCTAAAGAGACATGACAGCTAAAGCACAGGGTAGTCATGAATTGAATATTTGATTAGAAAAAATTTGTTTTGATATAAATGACATTATTGGGATATTTGGTGATGTTTAAATATAGGCTGTATTAAATATTGGTAGTATTGTACTAATGTTAAATTATCTGAATTTGATACTTGTAGTATAGTTATATAAGAGAATGTTCCTATTTTGGGAAATACATGCTGAAGTTTTAGGAGTAAAAGGTCATGACATCTGCAACTTACTCTCAAATTGGTTAGCAAAAATATATGTATGGGCATGTAGAGAAGAAGGGGAAAAAAAGAAAACGTATCCAAATGTTAGTTGGTGAGTCTAGGTGAAATGTATATGAGAGTTCAATCAATGAGCTATTCTTGAAACTTTTAAGTTTGAAATTTTTTCTAAATAAAAATTTAAAAGAAGAGACAACTGACAACCATTAACTGAATTCTGGGGAAAATATTGAAATAAAAGTAGCTTATAAGACAAATGTTTGTTTTTTAATGCTCTAATATAGAATATTAGAGACAGACATTTTACGTGAAGAATATGGCTCTGGCTATAAAAACTGAACTAGGAGTAGAATTGGGAAACAAAGAATTTAGCACTAGATTGGGTTGTCAGTAGGAAAAGTAAGAGAAAATAGTTGAAAATGAAACTGGTATTGGTATTAAAGACAGCAAAGGGGAGATATTTAGGAGAGAAATATAATTTTTGACCATTGATAGTATTAGTGACTTCAAAACTTGTCCTGTTGCTAGTTATAATTACTGTTTCTGGTTTGTGTAGCACAGAAGTGTCATACTCTGCAAAGCATGAATAATCATTTGGAAGCGGTGCTAAAAGAAAAGCGATCCCTCAGGCAAAGACTGTTGAAACCCATGTGCCAAGAAAACTTGCCTATTGAAGCTGTTTATCACAGGTTAGACTAAAAAGTAGATGTTAACAGTCACACATGTTCCCTGAGGGTAGTTTTTGTTTAGACTAATAGTTATTTCATAGCATAATTCATTAAACAGTATATGAGTGGTCGTATCTATTAATTTTATTATTAATGCTGATACATTAAACCAGAAAGAAAATCCTTTACTTTTAAAGAATTGTAGCAATGGTGAAGAGAAAGACATTCCTTTTGCCCATTGTGTCTTAGGAATTATAAGTAATGACTTCAATGAAAGAAATTAGATCCATAACATATAGTAAGGTGGATAAAAATCATTTTTATTATGTATAGACAGCTTTCTGTGACGTAAAGTTATGGTTGCATTAATGTTGCCTCTATATAAAAATTCTGTTGGGGGAGTTTAAGCAGGGACAGATGAAAACAATGTCAACTAAAAGGAGAAAAATAACAGTTCTGATCTCACCTCTGCTGTTTATATGCCTCAAAGCCTTGGGCAAATGATTTAAGTTTTTGCCTTAGTTTCCCAATCCATAGAATGGGGATGCTTTCTATTGCTCTCTTTCTCATAGGAATGGAAAGTATCAAATTGAAGGTGTGGATAATTATTAATAATAAATAACAATAAAATTAAAAAGCAGTCATCTGGGGATCTGATTGCTAACTTTCTCCACCAGTGCCTCACTAACTGACCCTGAGCAAATCAGTATTTCCTCTAAGTGTCAGATCTTTTATCTTGCAGTAAAATAATAAATATACAAATCCCATTCTTGTGGATATATTCAGTATCTATTCAGTGTAGTTAAATATCATTAATGTGTATATTATACATTATATATTTCAGAAGAACTGAGTAATAGTTTTAAGGCATTTTGCAAATACAAAGATCCTAAGTAGTTTCATGTGTAGGCCATTTCAGTGAAGTACATTTTTCCTTATTGTCTTCACCCTTTACCAAGAATGAGTAGATTGAAATGGAATGAGGTTTTACCTAGAGAAATTTTTTTTAAGTTATTCACTCTTTTTTAAATATTTATTTTTTAAAGTTTTTTAAAATTTTATATTTGGCTGCCTTGGGTCTTCGTTGCTGCGCATGGGTTTTCTCAAGTTGCAGCGAGCAGGGGCTACTCTTCGTTGTTGTGCACAGGCTTCTCGTTGCGGTGGCTTCTCGTTGCAGAGCGCGGGCTCTAGGCGCGCAGGCTTCAGTAGTTGTGGCACGCAGACTCAGTAGTTTGTGGCCCACGGGCTTAGTTGCTGTGTGGCATGTGGGATCTTCCCGGACCAGGGATTGAATCCGTGTCCCCTGCACTGGCAGGCGGATTCTTAACCACTGCGCCGAAGTCCCAATTTTTTCCTTATATGAGAAAATTATTAACATTGATGTTTGTCTAACATTAGATTGGGTTACAGATTGATTAGTGTTGTCTCTTTCTGTTTTTGTGTTTGGATGAAAAGTTAATTCCTGTTTAAAGTGAAAGAGAAGAACTTTTTTTTTTTTTTTTTTTTGCGGTATGCGGGCCTCTCACTGCTGTGGCCTCTCCTGTTGCAGAGCACAGGCTCTGGACGCGCAGGCTCAGCAGCCACGGCTCACGGGCCCAGCCGCTCCGCGGCATGCGGGATCCTCCCGGAGCGGGGTACAAACCCGCGTCCCCTGCATCGGCAGGCGGACTCCCAACCACTGCGCCACGAGGGAAGCCTGGAAGAAGAACCTTTTTTATCACGGATATTTCCATGAATGCAGAAAGGTTATTAACGGCTCATTGGGTGGATTGTAATTCTCTTAATTTCATATTAAAAGTCCTAATTAAAGGGAAAAAAGAGAACACAAAATACCTGAACTAAAAAAAAAAAAGAGTTGACTTTTTTTCTCCCTCCTTCAGACACATGGTGCATTTGCTGGAGTTGGCAGTAACTTTCATTGAGAGATTAGAAGATCATCTTGAAATAATTAGAAATATCCCTCATTTAGATGAAAATCTAAAGAAAATGGTGAGTATTACCAATAGTATTTAAGTACCTCATCAACTCCTTTCACATTGCTTTTAGCTATCTTTAGTTCTTTTATACCAGAATCTCAAATGTGTGATCTCCTTGTCTAACTTTTTTTGTTGGCTAATATTATGAGCAAATTACTTTTTTTAATCAAGATACCTTTTCTTTATTTAGAAGTCATTTTATATTGTTTTATTCCAATATTTAACAAATATGTGTTATCTTCATTGTGCAAGGGACTATGCTATAGGTATCATGAAAGATAAACAGATATGACCAATCCCTGCCGTCAGATTCTCAAGGTTTGGTGAGAGAAAGTATAAGATACTCTCTACTTTATAGTATTGTATTTGCACAATGAATGCAGCACAGAATTATAAAGAAGATGCTATCTTTTAAGCACAGAGAAGGGGGTGATTACTTTCACTTTAGGGAGATTAAGAATAGGATAGGAAGTAGGAATACTTGAATAAAGTTTTAAATAGGAGTTAATAGCAAGCTCCATCTTGAAGAATCAGTGAAAACTGGATGTGCATCAGGAAGAGTAGTTCAGCCGAAAGCAGCAATGTGAGGAAAGCCATGAAAATTAGAGAGCACAGGTAGTTTGAGGGAAGAGTGGTACTCCACTTTGGCTGATGCTTCAAGGTATTGAGAGGGAGATTGACTCGGGGTTAGTTTATGGAATATTTTGAAAACAGACTAAGAAGTTTAGACTTTGTCTGAGTACTGGGGAATCACTGGATGTTTTTCTCTTTTGTTTTTTAGAGAAGGGCACAGAGGGTTGACTTGAGCAGGACTGTACCTTAATCATGGAGAAAATATTGGATAAAGTAGACTGAGGCTTGTCACTCAAAGTATGGGCAGAGCATCAACATCACCTGGAAGCTTGCTAGAAATGCAGAATTGCAGACTTCATTCACTTTAGACCTTCAGAATCTGAATCTACATTTTAACAAGTTCCTCAGGTGATTCCTATGCACATTAAAGTTTGATGAACTGTGGGTTAGAGGACTAGGCAGAGGAACAAAAGGCAGAGGAACTTGGAGAATAAATACAGTCATTCAGATAATAGATTTAAAGCATAGGAATACAAAGGATTGTGTACATTTTTAGATTTTTGGAGGTCAAATTTCTAGCACGTGGCTACTGTTTGGACAAGGGACACATCCAAAGAATGAAGTTTCTAGCCTTGGGGACTTGAGGATAAGTAGGATCAAGAGATTAAAGAAGCCAATGAGTTTGTTTTTTGATATGTCTTGCAGAGATAGTAAATGTTCAGTCATGGTTTGTTGAACTGTGGTTAAATTGAGTTTGAGATATTGAATATGCATCTAGATGGAGATTTCCAGCAAACTGAAATGTAGGACTAAATTTTAGGAAGAAGATTAGGTTTGACAATATAGATTGAGGGTCATCTGCATTGAGGTGATAATTGAAGACAAAGGAGAGGTGAACTCACAAAGAAAAAGAACATGTAGGACAGCACAATTTTAAGGAGCCTCTGTATTAAGGGGCTGGAAAAGATCAGTTGTCAACTTTTGGTGTCATAATTATTTATGATATAGTAATGTATTAATGACACAATTTCTCTCCTGTTTTCCCCTTCTTTCAAATGTTATAGAGCACAGCCTTAGCAGAAATGGATATTTTGGTGGCTGAGACAGCAGAACTGGCAGAGAATATACTCAAGTGGCGAGAACAACAGAAGGAAATTTCCTCTTGTATCCCCAGAATATTAGCTGAAGAAAATTTTCTTCATAAATACGATGTTACAGTGCCTCCTTAACCTTTTATTTCTAAAATTAATGTTCAAACTATTAATGCAAAGTAATTATCAACTTTTTATTTTTGTTTAATTATATGTAGTCATGTGAAGTCCATTTCTAGTCAATTATAACATGGGTATTTATAGACTTTGCCACTAGCAATACTGAAAGAGCCCTCTTTATATTGAAATACCAAGATTCCAAGTTCATTAACACAAAACTGAATTTTCCTTTGTTTTTCATGTATTTTCATTCCACTTTTCAATAAAACTCAAATATAACTGATAATTAACGTGAGTGCATTAACCATATCTTAGGCAGCAGACTTTATTATGTTGTTTTTTTAAAAAATGCTTGTTTCTGAGTTAGAAGAGTCTTGAATCTGAAAGTATCTTGCTTATTCCTGTGAGATTGTCACTAAGTATGCAAAAAACAGCAAAATAGCAGACCTGACTGCTATGCTTTGAAAGGCCTGCTTGTAAGGTTGGTCCTTGGCTGGCATCTGGGAACTTAGATTTCTAGGGTTCCCTCCACTCTCACTGATAAGAGTTGCTTGCTGTGACTAAGGCGTTTGTACAGTGTGGTTTGTGCTGAACACCGGCTTTCTTCCTGGGACTCTAGAATTTTGGTATATGCTAGGCAGAAGGTACCTATGTGACTATCCCGCAATAATAACCCTGGCACTGCATCTTTAGTGAGCTTTTGTGGTAGACAACATTTCACACATGTCACAACTCAGTTGCTGGGGGAATTAAGCACCTCCTGTGGGACCCCACTGGCAGGGACTCCGGAAGATTGTGCCTGGTTTCCCCCGGACTTTGCCCCATACACCTTTTCCTTTGCTCTTTTGCTTTGTATGCTTTTGCTGTAGTAAATCATAGCCATGAGTACAGTCATATGCTGAGTCCTATGACTCCTCCAAGCATATCATCAAACCCAGGAGGTGGGGAGGGGGCGCTTGGGGACCCGACACACTAAGCAATTCCAGAGGGTGTTCACTGGCAGCCTTAGAAATAGGCAAAGAAGAAAAGTAGAGCAAAGCAAAGAAAAAGGCACATTATTGTAAAACTTATAGAGGTTTTACCTTACAAATTGCTCAGATATTTTACCTGAGATTATTATGCATATAAAAGGGAGTGGTATACTAAGTCTCAGGATGCTTTCATTTATATCAGTAGTAGAACTACCCTTGGCTTATTTTCAGACTTGGGGTTCTCTTTTGCTTTTTTTTAAAAATTTTTTAAATTTTATTTTATTTATTTATTTTATTTTTGGCTGCGTCAGGTTTTAGTTGTGGCAGGCGGGATCTTTGTTGTGGCGCCCAGGCTCTTTGTTGCAGCCCGCGGGCTTCTCTCTAGTTGTGGCGTGCAGGTTTTCTCTCCCTAGTTGTGGCGCACGGGCTCCAGAGCACACGGGCTCTGGAGTTTGCGGCACACGGGTTCTCTAGTTTAGGCACGAGGGCTCAGTAGTTGTGATGCACAGGCTCAGTTGCCCTGCACCAAGTGGGATCCTAGTTCCCTAACCAGGGATCAAACTTGCGTCCCCTGCACTGGAAGGTGGATTCTTTACCACTGGACCACCAGGGAAGTCCCCTCTTCTGCTTTAAATGGATGCTTCAATATTTTCATACTGTCCTATTCTCTGTATCACTGGAGTTCACTCATCCTTGTATTCAACACACTCTTAAAGGCAAGAAGACCTCAACATAGTAGATGAGTTAAGTAGCTGTTCATAAGGAAACAGGATCATTACCCAAAACTACCCTGCTAAAAAAACATGTCTTGAAGCCTATTTTGCTGACCTTTGCAAATGGGATATAGAAGAGTGGTCATAATTTCTTGAACATTGCCTAGACTCTTTAAGGAAAACTTTTAGTTGTATTTCATTAGAAATCTGTTCAAGCCCAGCCTTGGTTTCAAACATCTTACTAAGCTTTGTCATGTATTGTCAAACATATATATACGAGTATATGTATGTATATATATATACATATATATGTGTGTGTATATATATATATTTATACATTTATATGTATATATATATTTTTTATATCACATATGTCACAATTATTGATATACCTGGTTGTTTTGGGTTTTATTTTTGCTTTTTTGACTTCTATGTCTTTTTCAAAATAAAAAAATAAACCTGTGATTTTTAACTAAAATTTTGTGGCTCTTATCTGAATCCTATATGATTTAAAGGACAGATTCTTTATTTAATATACACAGTTAAAGTGTAAGCATACAGCTTATCTGATTCACAAAAGCTTGAGGTAAGTTGAGACAGGTCTACTACTAAGAGAAAAGCTAATTTAGTCTGTGGTAGATTCAATAAGTGTGCATCAGTTTTTTTTTCCTCAGCTTCTAGATATGTGGATAATAAAAACAAAAATAACTCTGAATGTCTTTCTATTTAACACCAGAAGTTGTGTGAGATTTGTGAATTCACTTCCAGCATAATAATGATGCCACTTTATGAAGACTATTCTGAAGGAATTGAGACGCTACATGGTTTTTCCAGCATTTTTCTTACTTTACTCCTTGCTCTGATCTGTGACTCTGCCAGCCTGACCCCTGTTATCCTCTCAAACCTCCATAAAGTTAGGAAAATAGTCTGAGGAATAGGAAAACCCAAAGGGTTTCTTGACATGCAAAATATAGAGTTTAGATATTAATAAAACTAATCAGTGTATTGTGGAATTTCCTGAGATGTAAAATGAATTTATGTAAGAGATTTATTCTACAGTTTGGGGAATCTACTCATGTAATTGAGTTTACTTGAAATTAGTTCAAGATAAGCAGATCACGTTCTAGAGTTCTTTTAATTTTGCCTTTTCTTTTTCCTTTTTCACCATTTCCAAGTTATATTTTCTCTTCTCCTTTTGGAAATACCTCATAAATGTTTGTAGGAAAAATTTACGTTAGGATGTGGTAGGAGCTGGAGTCCCATTAGCAGTTTATGAACTTTTCCTGGGAGACTATAGACCTCTGATGTTGCTCTACCAGAATTTAGGGTAAAAAAATAGGAGTCAAATATCTTACCTTAGACTTTGAATCACTTTATTTTCTTAATGTGGAAGGCTAGTAAAAGTGAAAAGTCATTCATTTCTTGAAGGTTGTGGTGAGATGACATTTTCAAGGAGACCCTACACAAACTCTGAATATGCTTCCTTATCAAAAATCAATTTACCTCTAGAGGGCAACATACACTATTTTTTTTTCTTTTTTTTTTTTTGGCTGTGTCAGGTCTTAGTTGTGGCACGTGGGATCTTTGCTGAGGCATATGGGATCTTTCGTTGCGGCGCACAGGCCTCTCTCTAGTGGGATGCGGGGTTTTTTCTCTTTGCTAGTTGTGGCGTGTGGGTTCTGTAGTTTGCGGCACACAGGCTGTCTATTTGAGGCGTGCAGGCTCAGTAGTTGTGGCACGCAGGCTCAGTTGCCTTGCGGCATGTGAGATCTTAGTTCCCCGACCAGGGTTCGAACCTGTGTCCCCTGCCTTGTAAGGCGGATTCTTTACCACTGAACCACCAGGGAAGTCCCATATACTTATTTTTGATCAGTGGATGCTAATAAAATTTTCTGTAACTTACATTTCCTTTTCTGAGTCTTAGTTTTTGTGGGACATAAAAATTTACCTTAGTCAATGAAGATTTACTTGAAAAACTGCTGGATGGAAGGCTTTCCGTAGAATACCTGACGGTAGGTGGGAATCATGGAATAGGGTATCAGTAGTCTGAACTGCCTTATCTCCCCAAGCTCATCTTAATCTTATAGTCCTCTCTCCATCTCCACCCCCAAGTTCAGGAGATTTAGAGACAGGGCTTGTCTTTAGCTACTACAATATGGAGAGTAATAGCAAAGGCTTTAGAATTATACCTGGTTTTGAATCCAAGTTCCACCATTTACTAGCCCTATGTTCTTTCTAACTTATTTAATATCAGTCTCACTTTCCTCATCTCTAAATGAGATGATAACAGTACCTACTTCATGGATTCTTGGGAAAATTAAGTGAGATAATGCATAAAAAACAATCAGTTCCTAGTACACAATAATTGAAAGTCATTGCTGTTATTAGTTATAACCAAAACAAAGATGGCTTTGGTAACTCCCTTTCTAAGCTATTCCTTTTATTCCTTCAGGCAATAAGTTCCAAAAATATGAGTTAGATATGGTGGAACTTAGTTAAAGAGACCTTTCTGGATTCCCTGAAATTTTACCATGTAAATCATGGTGAGGTCACTCTAAGGAGTCAAGAGGGAGAGAGCTAGCTTGGTTAAATCACAGAACAGTGTAACTTCACTTACAACAGAGGAAATTCAGATGAAAACTTCTGAGTTATCATTTCTCACCTATATGATGGGCATAGATTCGAAAGTTTGTTGAGATACTCTGTTGATGAGGCTGTGGAAATACAGGCATGCTTAGCATTGCTGATGGGAATGCAAAGATCAGTCATATGGCCCCTACAGAGGAGAATTGGGGAATATTTAGCTTAATTGCGTAAGCATTTCCTTTTGGACTCAGCAATTCTATTCATAGGAACTATTGCAAAGATATACTGGAAGAAATAAGAAAATACATATGCACATGGCTATTCATACCAGGAATATTTCTGATAGCAGAAGACTGGAAACAACCAAATTTGCAGTTAATCAGGGAGTGATAATATAAACCATGGACATCCACATTGTAGAGCACTATGCGGTTGTAAAAGGGAATGAAGTATATCTATAATTACTGACAAGGAGTGATCTACAGGATCCACTGTAAGGTATAAAACAAAGTCAGAATCGGGAATTCCCTGGCTGTCAGTGGTTAGGACTCGGTGCTTCCACTGCTGTGGCCAGGGTTCAATCCCTGGTCAGGGAACTAAGATTCTGCAAGCTGCGCAGTGCAACCAAAAAAACAAACAAAAAAAGTCAGAATTGTATGTATGATATGTTACTGCTTATGTAAGAAAGGGGGGAGATTAAAAAAAAATATATATATATATATATATTTATATACAAAACTAAAAAGCATGGTTACCTATGGGGGAGAGAGGCAACAGGGTAGAGGGAACAGGG